TTTCTTGCAATAATGTGGCTTGTCCCTTATATTGGTGATTCCAATTATACCCTGTATGTACGTGTACATCTTAACAACCAGCCCCATTTGTCATGCTATGTCTTAGAAGTAAGATAATCTCTCTCTTAATTATTATACACATAGTTTGATTAACAATAGAAGTGCGTGCTCAGTGTTGTTATATTCCTGTACTAACGACTGTGATATATGGAAGGCATGCAGAGACACCTATATGTAGAAATAGTCAGATTTCCAAAAGAAATTGTGAATGTGTTAAAATGTTGAAGCTAAGCTGAGATATTTCAAACCACTTCCCTCCTTCATGGCCGCAGATGAACAACGTGCACTTTTCTCCAACAGTGGTTAAATGTGCCATGAATTATTGCCATATATATATATATATCTGTGAATATCAAGTGAAAAATCAATCTGTGGCCCTCGTAGAGGGTACTAATTAGCCGCCAAGCTATTTAATCGTTAAGAAGGCAGTTTTAGTGCAGATAATTAGCTTTCTACGCGTAAAATTATAGGTAAAATTTTCGACAAATTCATTGGGAGATTTTCTGTCACAATTTTTTCCGCGTGTTTCACCACTTCGTAACATATTAACAAAACAATGTTATGACTGCAAATTCCCTGTCTTTGAGGTTAAAATTGGGGAAAACTTTGAGAAATTAAAAAAATTCACTATTTTATTTGCCTAGATATATTTTATTTTGTTTCATTCTTTTTTAATATCGGCATCTGTGCAATTTTTGATGTCTAGTTTTCATCAGCATTTGCTATGGTATATCTTTTCGGTTAAAGGAATAGCGCTGGAATTTTCAAGTTTTTTATTATTATTATTTTTTTTTTTTTTTGCTACATTGATTTAGAGCTGATTTTGAAGCGTGCAGCATTGTCTCTCTCTTTTTTCNTTTGTTTCATTCTTTTTTAATATCGGCATCTGTGCAATTTTTGATGTCTAGTTTTCATCAGCATTTGCTATGGTATATCTTTTCGGTTAAAGGAATAGCGCTGGAATTTTCAAGTTTTTTATTATTATTATTTTTTTTTTTTTTTGCTACATTGATTTAGAGCTGATTTTGAAGCGTGCAGCATTGTCTCTCTCTTTTTTCTTTTTAGATCGCAGTTTAATGCATTTAAACCATGATGCGTCATGCCATTCAAAATTAAAGAGACTTTGTTGTATAATTGACTGTGAGAGCAGTATGCCGAGGACGTCCACGGAATGGAAAACTTTGACATTTCCAGTTTAGGCAGAGTTTTTACTTTTTCTGCATCGAGTGATTTGAGAGTACTCCCAGAAAGCAGACGTCCGCCAAGGCAAAATCCACACATATATATTCAGAACTTATATTCAAGTATTTTACTCAAGAAACATATTTGTCAAGAAACATACATGTGCTAATGCCGATAAAAACCCAATGGCCTCCGCTGGCAAAGCTGACAATGGTGGCATAAGCGGAATGCACGTTACTGGCATTGGTGGAATGCACAACGCACAAAAGTGTACCTATACACAGCACTCATTGAAGGTAGACTTCCGCAAACAAACTATAATAATTCTTGTAACATATCAGGAGAAATGGATTCGGTTGAACTTGCATTAACTTATTTTCCTCTTAATTAACTATTCCGAATACATCACCTTAACGGACGGCGGAAAGTTACAGAAATGCTGGCATTATGCCACATATAGAAACGCTAATGAAAACATTACAACCTCCACTGGCAGAGCGGAGAGTTAACTGGCATTAATGGAATGCCCATCTGATCCAGTGCATATATTTACTATTGAAAAAAAGACCCACAAACCTGAAGGCATATAAGAACGTCAAGAATAAAACGGTAAAAAGAAGAGTCACCTTCGATTGATAAGAAACAGGGTGATACCACTCGCTAAACTTCAGGTAATCGAAGACATTGTCAGAATTAAGTACCCATTATTATATCTTAAGACATTATTACAAAAAATAACATACTTCAAAAAACAAACATGGCCTAAGTTAGGACGTGGGAATGGATTCATAAACCATTGGAAAGCATGGGAAGATTTCTGACAAGAAATTTGAAGAAGAGTGCAGTTTAACAGCTATTTTTGGCTGATTAACTTGGTTTATCTTTTGGCATGTAAAGATTATGAACGCTGTGCTTTTTTATATGATTTGAAATCGTTCAATCAAGATATACCATCATTAGGCACAACTAAGGTAAAGGAGAAGATGATTATGTCTTTGAATACATTTATTTTTAATTACGTGTAATGCAAAGCTTAGTGCACGCCGGCTGGCACTTCTCTGGTGGAGAGTATAAATACAACACGAATCGTCCACTGTATGCAACATGCGTCATTTTAGAGGTTTAGTCGACATAATTATCACATTTAATAATTACATCTATCTTTTCAGTTAATTTGCATAACGTTATTATAATGTACATGTATTAGCCTTATCGCATAATTATTTTTATTTTCCCAGTGTTGAGTATCCCGGTGACTCCCTTCGCCACAAAAGTGTTCATGTGCATGTAATCATTAAACAGATAAAAAAAAAATGTCTCACTGCTTCTGTAATAGTATAAAATTACACTTTTTGTTAATTGTCGCTTACGGTGGCCAACTTAGTGATGCTTTCAATTATATCTGTGAATAGCAAGTGAAAATCGATATTTGTCCCTGGGAGAGTGTAGTTTGTAACTGACTTATCAGCTGGCACTCCGAACATGGTGCTTATTTAACTATTGCTATTGCTACTTTGTGGCTCTCACCAAATGCAGATAGGTACTTCTCATAGCAAATACTAATGTATACCAGTTACATGTACCACTTTTTTATCGAAAAATATATTTTGTGTCCACTTTATTATCATTGTATTTTTTTACTGTTGTTTTGACGTGTGTGTGTGTGTGTATGTGTGTGTGTGAACTAAAGTACTGATTTGAGGGAGTAAAGATGCGGAGACGTTTCAATGCGAGTAATGTCAAAATTTTTTCTAACCGAAAGGAACAAAGTATTTGGGGACGTGTACAGATGACGCGTAGCTCGTAGGTACCTCATCTACAAATATACTTGAAACACTGATCAGGTATACATACAGTATATGTACGGATAACCACTAAGATTGTTTTGCACGCACATATTACGCTGTAATTTTTTCCACAAAATCTCAAGCATTGTCTGGGTAATTTTGTAATTTTATCTTGTTGATGTCAAGAGGTTTGGTTAATCAAACCCCACACCAAAAGCTATCCGAAAGTGTCTAATTTTCATTTTTATTCTTGATTATATATTCAATAACCCCTGTCATTATATATGCATGTCAACTTTCTTCATCAATTCTCACTTGACTTCACCAACTTTTACTCTTCTCTCGTACTAGTACCCCCTCTCTTATACATTAGAAATCCTCGTAAATATACAATCCATGGATTGTTTTGCTCCTATTTTTATGATCCCCCCCCCCCCATATGTCTTATTGCTCTCTCTCCCTCTTTCTCATTCTCTCTCTTTCTCCAATGTGTCTTATTGCTGTCAGGATCACTTTCGAACCTCCGTCTCAGTTAATCTGTTTATTTTTATTTGATTTATTTTTAGCATTATTTTTTGCATCACTAATATTTTCTTAATCTTATACTGTTCTCCATCCCAGATATATATATATATATATATATATATATATATATATATATATATATATATATATATATATATATATATATATATATATATATATATGTGTGTGTGTGTGTGTGTGTGTGTGTGTGTGTAATTTTAGGGGTTACGAATACTGTAAATTCCCTTTACCTTCGATACCATTTTCTCCTTGATTCACATCGTATGTAATCATACCACATATGACCTTTTGTCACGTAATTACACATCTCGTATCATTACCAAACTGAAAAAACCTTTTGTAACAATTAAAATCACATGTAATACTTTATATGGAAAAGGGTTACAGTTCAATCAAAGCGACTTTTCTGGATAAATCTAATTTGGAGATCTTTTACCACCTAACACCCATCTCACGCATTTTCGTTTCCAAGAAATCTTAAGCATTATGTAATACCTGTATTTGAACAAAAACCTTCGAGCAAATTCTGATTGCGTTCTTTCTCAAGAAGTCTCAAGGATTTTGTTTTTCCTGTCTTTACAACAGGTGTATTGAGCAAATCTTCACATTCCCTCGCACTGCTCTATATATGACATACAAAAGTATTGACCTTTAATCCTTAAGATAGATACAACAATTTCTAACAAAAAATGCTATCCAAGGACCAAAAGTGAGAACTTCTCCGAATAATCATTCAAAAACTGAAGAAAGGGAGTAACGATGCGGAGGCGTATCATTATACATAACGTCATCCAAATTCAAGAAACTATTCTGGGAAGCAAAAAGGTGGCCCTTACCTCATGGGTAACTCATGACTTTGTTTGCAGTCTTACATCTACTAAGCATGCAGAAGAATTACAAATCCTGAATTTTTTTCACCAAAATATACCCTTAAATTTTGGCTGATCTACTGATAGCTCCGAATCAGTATGCATTTGGTGTATTTTATTATTTATGGTTTGGTATTTATGATGATAATAATACGATCAGACAATTTTAACATGACAGATGTAATGTTTTGGGGTTGAGCAAAATGTACACTTTCCTTATACTTGATTGAATTAAACACAATAAAGTATAAATTGTTAAAAATAATATTTAGAAATTTTACAACATAGTCTTAAAATCATTCGGATATTTATAAAATAGATGGAAACTATGACGACAAGTTACATTTTCGCATTGTGTTACTTAAATGAAAAACAGCTTTCCCACAAAAGCTTCCTCCGTTTTTATGACGAAAAATGTCTAAATTAATGCTATAAGATTTTTAATTAATTTTTTTTACAGAAAAGAGTTAATCGTCATACATAAAAAGGGATTTAATATATTTTTTTTGTTTATGAATTAAAAAAGTAGTTGTCTAAAAAACCAACATTTATCATAATAACTTTGCAAATATTTATTCTTCATTTTCAAATCATGCACATCATGTTACTCATTGTCACCTGTGAATAATTTGAACACGTCAATTGTGTAATATTCAAGAAACTGTTTCTTATTTTGACAACAATTAAACAAAAACAGTTAATTCAATTTAATGTTAAAACTTTAAGGTAACGCATTTTTATTTGAAAAATAAAAATAAAAAACACAAACACAGCAGAAAATTCAAAATACATGTGTTTGGATGGCGGGTCTTTCATGGTATCTGCAAAGTAATGATCCGCAATATTCAGCATTGATCTCTAACACAGGAAACCCCACGCGAGACCGCAGCAACATCCGGTGGGCACACGGATCCAGACCCACATCGGCTTGTACCAGGTCCAAATATAGACCTGCCTCCAGCCCCACTCCGTGGTGCACCTGGCACAAACCTTGAAGTTCAACGTTTTACTGTAGTTGAAGGTTTGATAACAGCTGAATGGACTGAAACACCAAAAAAGAATACGAATTAGGACAAAAATGCATAAGAAACCGAGGAAAAGAGGGCCATATCAGATGCGATAGGCACTATTTCATACTCAAAGAGGAGACCATCCATTACTATTATTACTATATAGAGATTCGTACCGTCAGCGTTTTCAAGTTTTAATTTTTACTCATAATTTCAATGTACATTGTATATAATTATTAATAATCTCCTGCATTAATATGTATCTCAAGCATACTCTCTACTTACACCCCATTTCCATAGATTTTTAGATAGATCTATCCCTGTGGGGAGTTTCAATAGATTACTGTCAGCTTGGCCGGCTTAAGCGTCTGTCCCGCCTACTAAAAGCTGTAAGGGGGTAATTAACTATGGTGTCCGCTCGGCTGACTGCAATTTAGCCTGAACCCCCAGGGAGTTAGGTCGATCTAAAACTTAATCTTTAGATCGATCTAAATCTCTGGGAAAGCACCCTAACACTCTTCTCCTTATGGAAGAATAACATTATCTTCTATATATATACTTACGGACAGTACATCCACGTCCACCAGCCCATTCCACAACGAATCACAGGAAACCATTTATTTTGCCATCGTACCCAATATGGCAGGATCCGGAAGTAGTACTCTGGACACTCAGTTACGCTGAAAACGAAACGTGAAATATGCCTGTATTAAAAGCAATCAGACACTATATTTGGATGACTTGATCTTGTTACGACATGAAAATTCTGATAAATGACCATAACCTGTTTACTTCCAAGGTGATGGCACTTTACATTTGAATTCAAAATTGGTCAAATAGTAATTCTTGTTTGACGAGGTATCAGTTACAGACCGTGCGTTCCATTTTTAGATGTTTAACATTCTTTTTAAAATTTACTTGTAGTCGACGATTACTAGAAGTTAAATGCTTTTACTTGGTTCGTGACCTTAACTGAGAATAGCCACCTTACTAATGTATGTATATGGTACTCGCAGGTGCTACGACAGGTAAATGCACCTTACCCGATAGGAAAAATAGAGGCAACTTTTTCGTTGAAGGCAGCTTCTGAAAGGTCTTGCAAGTCAGCGGGAATCGCCTCTTCTGCATCAATTTTCTCTGTTGGCGCATAAAGTGCACATACCTCGGCAATTTCTTTCCTTGATAAATGATAAAATAGATGAATATGTAAATTGATAAAAGGATGGATATAGATACATACAAAGAAGGGTCGGCGTTTCGCTCTCAATTGAAGATATTATAAAACATGATACCATTGATTTTGAATTCACTTCCATTCATCAGCGTATTAACCTTTTAATCAATGAGTTAAACAACTACCCAATTACTCGAGTGTGAAATTAATTGTTTGGCAGTTGTATTTTAGCTTTTATTTATTCATTTTGGGAAATAGCAAAAATGATTGCGTAAAAACCCAACTGGAATATATAGGAACAGCCTTTGTCGACTGCGTACAATATTGATTTATTTTGTTTCATTATAACTTACACCGGATATGCCACGCTGTCTGGTGAGACATCCGCTTTTGTGGAGAAACCGGCTTCGAAGGTGACGCCATCTTTCATTTCTGTATATATTAATTCGTCAGGATACGCAGCATTATCAAGCTGGCCATTTGAAAACGAAAGGCAGACGGCCACAAAGAATATCCCCTTTGATAAGAATAAAAAACAAAACCTTTCATTTATTGTATATACATTGTGCACTGGCTGTAAGGTACATGTACTTTGCAATTTGAGAGGTAAATTGAAATATGCATTAACCCCAAAGAGACAGTCACCGCATACAGGCCTAACCAACTACCAGACTCGGCACCTACGGATCCAGAATAAACCGGTATATCAGACCACACTACCCGTTTTCAAGGTGTGTGTCAGATCGCATTACAGAGTATCATACCTTATAGTTGGGTAGGCCTGCCATACATGCGGTTCATTTCTCACTTACCCCAAAGGCCCAGAACCACATATATGCATATCTTGGAATATTGGCATACTTTTCCCTTTAAGCAGCGATTTATGAAATAAGACTATGGTGTACATTGAGCGAGTTTTTTTCTCATTTTAACTATTTTAGGGAATTTTTAAAGGTAAGTGGAGTGAAAAAAGGTGATATTATGTTGCAAAAACTAAAAAGAAAATAGTGGTTTCTCACCACCTAAAAACTATGATAAATTCCAAATAACTAAAAAAACTAAAACTAGGATCATGCTGATTTTTTCTGAGTTCAAAGTTAACTTATGTAACATTACTATGACAGATTTTCAAGCAGATATATAAGAAAATTATAAACTATTTGTGCACTGTAACATGCAGTTTTTGATTTTCCTCTCCAGCTTTCAAATTCAGAAAATTCAATTTTCAAAACTACATAAGTCTTATCATTTAAATGACTTTACATTTATAAAATCATATTCACGAAGCCTGAATTATTGGCTTTCTAAAATTATATAATTTGTGTAAGTGATGTTTGCAAACTAAACTAGGACCAAAATCTAAATAATCCCACTTTCCAAAGGTACATATGCACATAAACTGGCCCCAGGGAAGGTTTTTACGTCAGCACTAAATAGTCCCTATGGGGTTTATTGTTTTTTACCTCCGCCAAAGAGGTTATGTTTTCACCCCTGTTTGTCCGTCTGTCTGTCTGTTTGTTTGTCATCAACGTAACTCAAAAAGTGGACAGATTTTGATGACATTTCCAGGAACTGTCAGAAGTGGATCAAGGAAGAGATGATTAGTTTTTGGTGGTGATCCGGATCAATAATCAATCAATAATCAATAATAATCAAAAATCGCTGCCTTGGCGGAGGTCTGCGCTCTCGGAGTGCTTTTCTAGTTTTTTTTTCCGAACAGTTCCGATTGTCAAAAATGATTCTTGCAACCTAAAACTAGTGTCGTTTTTCAAAAAAAAAAAAAGAGATTTGGCAACTATTCCCGAAGCTCGCCTTATATCATCTTAGTTATACGTGTTTGATCTGCGAAAATAGCATTGTGTTTATAATAATCCCACTGTCAGTGAAAAAAACACGAATCCCCCATTTAGGTCAAACTTATTTTAGTTATACACCTGTGTTACATATAGATTATGTTCAATATTAAGTAACCGTTTGAGAATTCTTTTCAATGTTTCAAGTAATTATTACATGTATATCATTTAATTGAAGTCTTAAAAGTGATAATAAACCTTGCACGTTTTAAATTCGTAGATGAAAACGATTTTGAAAAAATACCGATAGATCTGTAAACTGAGCTTTGTGTCGAAGATGCTTGCTGCGAATCAGTTAACGATAACAAAAAAGAAGATACAAAAAACTCTCAATATTCTTACCTTAACAATCATCGTGGTGTAATTTTTACTTCGTGGATTTCAAAAGAACCAATGATGTCTGGCGCTGCTGCCCGAATCGATGGTACTGTTAGAAAAATACACAGTTTATATATATCACAAGAGGATGTAATTAAAACTACATCTCAGACGGTCAAGATTTATAGGCAGACACAAGTATGTAGTTTATTTTAGATGTTGACAGAAAATATTAAGAGTATGATAGAATGAAGATGTTTATGTTCCAGACACACTTCATAATGTGCAGTTCAATGATTTAAATTTAATTTTCAAGAGCCACCAAAGTTCAAGGTTATTTTCAGGGGTGAATTCGGACAAGAAATTAGACTCAGCGTCCGGTTTGGAGTAAGGCTTTGAACAAACGCATAGGGTTAATTACACTTTAACCGTCTACTCCCAGGTTGGCCCCACTGCGAGTTTGAACTGGCTTCCAAACAAAACACTCGTACGTGCCAGGGCTAAAAGATGTTTCACGTGAACAATAACAGCCTCTTTCAAAAAGCTCTCACTTCCGATGTATGGATTTTACATACATGGCTTGAATGTTGAGCTTCGTAACTTAGGCAATTTGCACTGAGGTAACTGGCCATAATTTTTCCTTAATTAAAAAAATAACTTAAAGAATAAATCATTAATGCTTATTGACACTTTTTCCAATGCCACAAAGTACGATCGTTTTATGTTTTAAGCACAGTCTGTCAAACATGAATTTTGGTTTCTATCCGGTATATATGTATACTGTTAATTCGTTTCATATGGGCCAGGTAAATCTTCAGCTATTTGCAACTGTATGGATGTGTCAAGTACTGGGTCCCAGGACCTCTATTATGCTAATGTGAACTATTATACTGCATTTTATGCACCGGTGCTTACTGGGGAAAATATAGAGTTTCATGTTTACATGCGTAAATGAGTGCACTTGTTTCAGAAAGCTGACATATCTTACATAAATAAAGCCTTAGCCAAGGATGACACGTAGGGTGCATTCCCACTGACACCATCGGTCTAATTAGATCGATCCAACTCTGCAGGGACTCTCTCTGAGTGCAATCGGCTGAACTGAATGTCACGCCTGTGGACTGTCTTGTATTATGTTTGTATCACGCTGATTCATATATTTGCCCAAGATATAAATATTTATTCAATTTGATTTTTTTTAACTGGACGGTTTCCTCATTAAAAAGATAAACGTGCAGGTCACGCATTACAGACTAAACATGGTGTTGTTTACATAAATTAAAGTTCTTTATTTTTGATTCAGCTTGGTGGTTTTCAAATGAACACACGGTCTTTGAAATTTGAAATGTTAAAACGGTAATTGCGGCTAATTCGACTATCATCAACACCGCCCTCTCATTATATCAACATTTATGTAGGAACATACATAATGGAGTGTCCTTTACGGCGTGACACTGCACTTCAACTCGGTTGTCTCCAGACTGGAAGGTGCTTTAAATAAAAGGGTGTCTGGCGGTGTTATTTAAAACTCTTTTATTGAACCATACACGAGAATATCACTGCACCAAGTGGTTTTAGACTTTGTCAATTCTTTGTGTTATTCAAAACAATATCTTAGCCCTAAAATCGAATGTGAGCTTCATTTAAACTTATTTGTTGCCTTAGGGCATATTAGTATAGGAGACAATGTGAAACAAATATATTATTATTGTTTGTTTGTTTTCGTTTTATTTCTATTATGTCAAATGTCTTCATAAATACACGCGCCATTAAACGGATTACATCTCGAATCCGAGGTTTAATTGCTCGGCCCCTGCAGCGACGAGGCGTGTGAAGCGGGGCAAGCATCAGGGAATTAGCTGCATCGCTTTTTAACGGATGGGCATATTTAGTCAGCGGATCGGTTAGTCCGCCGATCATCTGTTCTAAATGCACTCTTTCACATGTACTGGACGAAGGCAGTTCATCATTTAAACATATTGCCACAAGACATCTCTCTCATTGTGTCTACAATGTGCTGTGAAATACTATGTTGAAAGTACCTCCTCAAAACATTATTCCATTTGTAATAAATATATTGATTACGAAACACTTAATATGCATATGGTTTGGTATTTGCAGGCCTACTAACTTACGACGAAAGGTATACATGTATACATTTATACAATACTCAATACTACAATACTAGTAAGTATAATTATGAATATCATAACATGACATGTAAACACCAAGCAGCATGTCTTATCCTGTATAACTGTTACCTTACCTTACCTTATACAATAAAGTACACGCGTCATATTTTAATACACTTGTAAGACTGCTTAACACCAGTTACACGTATTGGGCTCATTTTCTACTTTGGCATAGTTGTAAAACCACATTTTTGTTGTTTTCTGGTGTACACAAACTATCGACTGAACCGAAAAAAAGTTGATTATATTTTCGCACTGCAATAGAGGCCACAAACTTTATAGAGTTACACATTTTTCGATTTAAAGATAAAGTGTATGTGTGACCGAGTAAAGATCCGCGTTGGACTCTAGCACAGGATACCTCTCGCCAGACCGCAGCAACATCCGGTGGGCACCCGGATCCAGACCCACATCGGTCTGTACCAGGTCCAAATATAGACCTGTCTCCAGCCCCACTCAGTGGTGCACCTGGCACAAACCTTGAAGTTCAACGTGTTACTGTAGTTGTAGGTGTGATGGCAACTAACTCGACTGAAACACCAGTGGGAACACGAATGAGGACAAAAATATATAAGAGAAAGTGGGGATATTTCATACTTTGTATTGCTATTATTATCATACAGAGTTTTGTCCCGTCAGCGCTTTCAAGTTTTAATTCTAACTCATAATGTCAATGTATATCTGTACATCGCCCAAATTTCTTATAATACCGTTATATATACGTATATATAATCTAGATTTATGTTACACTTCATAAAATATACTTACGGACAATACATCCATGTCCACCATCCCATTCCACAACGAATCACAGGAAACCATTTATTTTGCCATCGTACCCAATATGGCCGGATCCGGAAGTAGTACTCTGGACACTCTGTTACGCTGAAGACAAAACGTGAAATATCTCTTAAAAGCGGTGATCTTTTCTCATTGAAATCATACATGCATTTGGGTGACTCGATCTTGTTTTTATCAAAGTGTATATAGTATGTACATAATTAGTAAAGCTTTTGACCATAACCTATTTACTTCCTTCCAAACCCATTGCATGCGCTTCAGAAAAGTATGTGGAATCGATGAACCAATCCTTTATTTTTTGTTTGAAATTTCAACAACGAATGTTACGCATCACGCACTTCAATTGAGAGGCTTTCATATTACTTTTGGAATCTTACTTTGAGAAAACGACGATTATTCTAAGTTACATGATTTTACTTGGTTCATAACCCCCTCAACTGAATATACCCCTATCTGAATATATTCATCCTAGCTACCAGTATATGGTACTCGTAGGTACAACACAGATCAATGTGCCTTACCCGACAGGAAGAAGGGAAGTTTTTGCTCTAAAGGCAGCTACTGAAAGCTCTTGCAAGTCCGCGGGGACAGACCCTTCTCCCACACTTCTCGCTATAGGCGCAGAAAGTCCACAGACTTCGGCGATCTTTTTCCTTAAAACAATAATACAATAGATGAATGGATATTCAAATAAGTAAGGAATTATATTGATATTTACTAGTAAACACTGCATGGGTCGATGGTTTGTGCTTATTTAAAATATGATATAATGCGATGTAACTAGTGCTTAATCTATTCCAATTATCTACGAATTAATAGTATCAGTAAATGAGTTTACTAATTTCTAATTTTCTTAATAATTAAATTGATTCACTGGCTGTTTAATTTCGGTTATTTTGGGAAATAGCAAAAACCCAACTGAAATGTACTACTATAGACACAGCCTTTGTCGACTGCATACAATTCTGACATACTGAGTAACGTAGGTTATATTGTAACTTACTCTGGGTAAGCCACCCTGTCTGGCGAAAAATCGGCTTTGGTGGAGAACCCGGTTTCGAAGGTGACGCCATCTTTCATTTCAGAATATATGAGTCCGTCGGGATAGGCCGAATGATCAAGTTGGCCATTTGAAAACGAAAGGCAGACGACGGCAAGGAAAACCTCCTGCAGAAGAGAAAAGTATAGAGAACGAATCAAAGTGTTTGTATTGTGTACAGATTATAAAGCAAATCTTGTGGTTGCGCGTGACCTCCCGTTCGGGTTTAGTGTCTTGGTCCCTAGGGTGATGATGATGTGCACGTACGAACGTAAGCATCAGGCGCCACCACAGCACCATAAAGAAAAGGAACTCCTTGCCGGTGGGACAACATTCAACACTACATACATTACAGTACAGTTACATTTTAAAAGGACACATAAGCTGAGAATAGAAAAATGGATTGCCATCAGAAATTCACAAAAAAATATATTAGACACTTTAAAAAAACAGACTCAATATAGACAATGATTTCCTCAACGAATATTATACTCTTTCATTATTATGTTATTTTCATAATGAAATCATGCACTTTTGAGACTGTAAATTTTATTTATATGTAAGGTATCTTAGATGTTAATTTGCTTATTTGTTATCTATATGTACCTGAAAAAAGCACACAAGCGGAAAGCTCGGGCGCTTAATAGCAATTATAGTTGATCTTAATAGACACGTTTCAATCTAATGTATTTATTAGCATTATGTTTATGCCAAAAAATACTGATAAATATTCCTACCTTGATAAACATCTTGTCTTTATTCTTCTTCGTGGATTTATAAAGAATCAAAAATCGCTGGCGTTCTGTCCGAATTAACGGTACCGTTAGAAAAGTACACAGCTTATATATGTACCACAAGAGGCTGTAATTAAAACTACATCTCTACACGGTCTTTGAAATTGATGGTAAGTGTGGTCAGTTTGACCATCATCAACACCATTATTTCATTATATTTATGGAGAAATATACATGATGGATTGTCGGTTACGGCGTGGCACTGTACTTAAACTAAGTTGACTCAATGGTGTATTTTGGGAAATAGTTTGGGAAATGTGCTTTTAATACAAAGGTGTCTGCATGGTGGTTTTATCTTGCACTTTTTTATTAACCACAACACGAGAAAAACACTAGTGGATTTTGTTTTGATCTCCTTGGTGTTACTCAAAACAATTTCTCCGACTTAAAACTCTATATGTAAGCTTTATTTGAACTTGTTTTCTTATGACAAAAAAATGACCCTAGTGCATGAGACGGTGTAAAACAAATAAACCGTTGATCTTAATAATGTGAAGACATGAATTCACATCTGTACGATTAAGGAGATTTTTTGTTATTTTTTTATTTTTATTTTATTTATTTATTTATTTATTTATTTTTCAAATGCATCCATAAATTTAGAAGCATGCCGTTTATACTGTTTAATCTGCCTTTGAACTGAAAGTGGAACAGATGTTTAACTGATGGTCAAGAGACATGTTAAAAGCAAACCGATTTTAATCAAAAAGGCCAGTCAATACCAAAAACAGACCAATACCTTCTTTACTTGCGGATTTATCTTGAAGCAGACCGCACAATCTTGGTCTAAAACTCAAGGCTAATTTTAATATGTGAAAGCGTCCAAAAGTACGGACAATCATGCACATTTTTTCACTTATCTACATCAACAACAAGACACTTCCTTAACACTCCGTAGGAAGTGACCTCACTGGCATTTTATTATTCGGGTATATGAGTACAGGCAATAACGGTCACATCTTATAGCTTACTATTTGCCCACCCTATAAATATGAAGACTTCAACCACGGTGCTGCTCCTGGTCTTTTTGTTCACCCTAGCGGCATGTGTTTTCATTGTCAGTTCCATCCATGGAAATCGCCTTAACTATGGATATCGCCCATATGGATATCGATATCTCTACTGGCCTTATTATTACCGCAAGTATGGCGGAGGTGAGTGTTCCATATCTTCTTCACGTCATATAAATATGGAGATGCAAACACATGTACAAGTATATCGTTCCATTGAAATAATCCAGACCTTTTTGTTTGGTGGTAAATGTATCACAGTGTTACAAATTTGACTTTGCGGAAATCTTTCCCAGTGTTTTTGTATAGGAAAGGTTTAGATATACCATTTCAAGTTCCATACCACAGATGTGTTGTAGTGCATTTCTATTTCAGGTTACTAAGAACTCCTACGACAGCGCTGTCTCAAGCTACTGTATATACATATGGGACCCGAAGAATTGTCTTTCGGTTTTTCCTCAAAGACACTACTTTGTTTCATCCAGCTGTATTCACACCGATGAACACTTCACTGTAGTTCGAACACATCATTCGGAATAACAGACGTGCACGATTCATAGCGACGAAGAAAATTTACAACAATTTTTGGTGATTTTTTTTAAAAGAAAGTGTTAATATTTCTATTGGAATGCATAAGTTTTGAGTATATAAGGAACTGTTAAATCACTGGGTCATGATTGAATTATCTACATGTATGGGTGTATTTTTCAATGGATATTTCTGCTTTCAACTAAACAGACACAAAAACAAATGCAAACTTTGAAAATCGTTTGCTTCTGTTGCTTCTTTTTCACATAGAAAGCGTTTCCCAAAAACCCAGTCTCGTGTTAGAAACATGCAATTCATATTATTAGCAATCTTACATAATGATCACCAGGTTGCTTGGAGTTTCGAGTATGGAATTTATGAAACAAACAATGACAAAACAACATGAAGTGTGACATCCAAAAATCTAGTGGAATGCATTTATTACTGAATGACACTGATCTCTCTGTCTCTCTAATATGATTAATAAAATTATCATCGGATCAAACTTCTCTGTATCTTTTTTCTATGCAATGCCTATTGTCCCTCTCGTGACCACCATAGTTCGGAAAAGTGATCTCAGAAGGACACGACGAAAAACATAGCAGACTTTAATAAGGGTTTTATGTTGAATAAGAATATTATTTGATACACCTTTTCAAGGAATTCACCTGCAAGCTTAGAGCCATTTCTGTTCATTTAAAATTTTTCCTGTTTTAATCATTTCTTTTACTAGCGTTTTTTATTCTTTATTCACGGTGCATGGTAAAGTCTTAAATTTACTGAACAAATTTGAATAATAGACTCATAATAATAATAATAATACTAATAATAATAATAATTTGAGTTGAAACTGGAATTAAAACCTGAGTCGATCGTCATCGACATGTTTGTCTTCAAACTGCGAGAGTAAGAAAAAATCCAGGTAGTAACAACTAGAACGCTTTAATGTTTGACTTCAAAGAGAGAGTCTCTAAAATGTATTTGATGTTACCGTTTCTTATGAAAAAGCTTAAGTGTGGTATATCCGCGTCGTTCAGTTGGTACCGTTCAATTCTCCACGATACTTATGCTCGTCTTACAGTTGTATCTGATGTTATCTTCAGTGGTCTTTTTCTGTTCATTTAATTAATGTTTTAACGTGATAGCAACACAGCGTTCATCATTGTGGCCCTTTAAGAGGCAAATATAGGCTACCCATGCTCCCGTCACTATTGTTAGTTATTCATGTTATTTATGTCGTAAATGTTTTATTGCAAGTCAATTTGCAAGTCAATGTTGATAGTTTAGGGTCTGTGGAGTGGCCGTGCATGTTAGTCCGAGTCATGGTAACTCGTCTAATTTATTCCCTGTGTAGCGCAATTGGAATTTGCAAATTAGAGGTGGGAAATTAAATGGCAATGTGGTCTTCAACATCTGGATCGCGACTAGACTAATTTGCAGAAGTTACGAGCCCGAGTGTAGCCTTTCTTCTATATTTTAGAAGTGTGAAATGCGTTTGTTCAAATTTATTTATACGGTATACTGTAAAGCCAATTATGTCTCAATTAAAATATGTTGAAAGCGAATGGGCTTTATAAGCTTTTGGTTGCGATGAACATTTGGTTTCAAAGATGGCCAGTCTACCTCCCCGTGGATTTAATATGCATGGAACATGCAGGCATGTTCACTCCGCGTTCTTCCCGGATCATGATGTAGGAAGGAAAACCAGCCTATTTCTCTTCATCAAGAGTAACAGAGCTATGGATACCGTCAGAGAGGAAAACCAGCCTATTTCTCTTCACCAAGAGTGACAGAGCTATGGATACCGTCAGAAACGGCCAGCAACTACAGTTATAAAATTCTTGTTTTCTTTGGCCCGTCTTGCCCTCCCTCGACCTTTCCCTCCATCGATCTGATAATTATGCCCTCAGTTCTTTTGGTGCAAATTGAGTACGCAAGTAGTGTAGACCCCGATATACACCAGGTTATATAAAGCAGGTTTGTATAGCAAACGCTTTGAAAGTCGTTCTTAATTTCCTTTGCATTATGGTTAATCTACATGCATATCCTTTTTGGGATTTTTCCACTTGCGTCACTCACAAGTGAGACTACCTTTTTTATAAGACCGCGTCCTTAAAGTCCTTTTTAATGTGTTTCGTAATTGATACTCAGCAAATGATATCCTTACATGGCATTGGGGGGGGGGTAATTTTCTGGTTTTGTCCTTGTGTTCGTTTTTGCTAGTATACGACAAATGCAAAGTCGCACTATTCCATTACCTTGACAATTAATTATATAATATCATTAAATGGATCTGAAAAAAAAAAACATTGCTGGCAAAAATTGAAAAGGAAAGTCTAATAAGTTCTATACCGAAAGTGGGAGTAAATGAATTGCCACTGTTTTTTAAGTGAAATTTTCTCCTATTATATCACAAACACACGCACTCCGAGTAGATGTTTCAGTTGTCTTAGTCTTGTTTTGTCAATTTTTACATAAAACTTCCCAGCCATGCACCTAGCCTTGCCTAAAACTGAAAAATAAAATAGGAGGTCGCAAAAAATCTGAGATTATTGGCGGTATCTGGAAGTTTGGAGTTGCATGTTTTTATTTGTTATTTGTGGGATGATCAAAACGATAAAAAGTCCAAATGTAGAGCTACATGTACATGTATGTAGGAAATATCCTGTCTTCGTCTTAACATTACGCGTTCTCAACTGAATAATAATTATAATAGAAATAAAAGTATGCCCAGACGGCTCCTCTCCTACATTTGCACGCCTGGATCTAGTCCCGGTGCCAATTCAGGGCTCGAAAACCTGATCCTCTCTGAAAGAAGTGTTTAAACTTTTTAAAGTTTCAAAAGAATATTAGCAATGCAAGAGGCTTTAGATTGGACCCGGTTCATTAATTTTTATATATTGGAATTGCGTTTTTGGATACATTTTCCTACGTGCGAAACGCCACATTTTGTCTTTACTCCAGTATTCAATGCACGGGAAATTATCTATGTAACTTTGATTTTTTAAAGTGAAGTAATTGTAAGTAATATGCATTACAGTAAAAAAAAAGCGCAATACGCATCACACTAAATCATGAATGTACCAATAGCAAATTGGTAGACAGCTACCTCGCGTTCCGTTTGCTTTCTATAAAATATCTTAAATTGAGATGTTAATAACATTTTGGAACATGCGTTTTTTTACCTGTATGCATCAACCACAGCCTCATCTGTCATGGATCTCTTGTTATTGCAACGACACGTATTGTAGTAAATTACAATCCCACTGAAATGTGAAGATATGTCTTGTAAGCCATACTGTGGTAGAAAGAGGAATATTGGATTTGAAACATTTGTATCTGTCGCAGTGTTGGTACCAAGCCTCTTTGTAAATGTCTGATATTTGTTTCTTATCTTATACATACTTCAATATTGGGGTCTTTTTAGCAGCTAATTTTGTTGTTTCACATCGGTCTCCGTTGATGACTTACATACAAATAAACATTGCTATAGTTACTGGGAATTTGTATTGATTTCACCGACCATGTCATTCAAGGAATATGCACTAACGGTGAGTTTTTCAATATTAGTCAGATGTTATGGGATCCATCGGATCCCACTAATTCTTCACATTCAATTGGGGTTATGTACTGTATTAAGTGAGTATGAATGTAAACCTTACATACCCAGCAGTGGCTATTTACAGAGAAGTATGTAGATGCATTTTTTCATGTTTTGATAATATCTAGAGGAGATGGCCGGCATGGGGCCATGTGAACCGCAACAAGGTTAAACCCCACCACTGGGCAACTAACGCAATGAGCCGATGCCAATGGACCCAATGGGCCAATGGAGTTTCATCGGATGACCAACAGCATTTTTAATATGTGAGCAGTTTTAACTTTGGATTGTAATTTGTCTTTTCGCGCCCTTTGTCACACGTAGGTGCTCATATCATGGAGTACTATATGTTGTTTGATGGGGCATTAGATAAACCTGAATCTCCCAATCAAATCCTCCTGAAGAAGAAATTTCTGTACAAGGTCCGTAAGTAGACGACCAAAATACTGTAACGCAGTGTAAATAGTGAGGCATCTGTTGATTTAGATGAGTGACACAGAGAAAGGATACACCATCTCTGGTCACTTTGGTCTGCTGATTACCTTAGAAAGCTGTCCCTTATTGAGCCTTATTGTCAGAATACAGGGTATTTGATACAAAGCCCTTTTGTATTGAAACGTGGAAATTTTAAAGCATGGAGAGGAATGTTCCTTATGGGGTCTTCTGGGTTAATATATGGTAGATCTACAATAGCGCGATACATAGCAAAACCATATTATTGACAATTATTTTAATAAAAATTAAAGATAGTTATCCACTTCATTCATTCTGTAGGAGGCCAATGCAAAGACAACTACAATTTAAAGACAAAATGGAGACAAGGGTATACTTACGCGTTAACTGGATCGAGGAGTTTTGGGCCACAAGACTGTCTACATCCACCCTCGCACGCGCATCCGAATATATTGCATGGACCTTTGCCACAATACGGAGTTCTCTAAATTATGACACATATCGAAGATAATAATGAGTGATTTATTTATGCAGAACGAGTCTTCAGCACGCTGATAAACTCGGAACACAGAAACTGGCAACACTAAATCTGTTATTTGGTACGTGATATCAAAACCGTTATGTAAACAGTTATGTTTTGAGATCATAGCAGCAGTTAATTTATCAGAAATTAAAAACTGGGTGAAAATAGAACATATTTCAATAGTCCAGTGGCTGGTAGTCATGGGAACGTGGCTTAATCTGGTGATCTGAGACTCGACGTGTATCTTTGGCGGTCCCCTTCTAGCCTGTCCCTAGCTAGGAACCGTGTATCTATATCTAACCACGTGAAGGGTCGAGGCCATGAGCGGTGATAGTTTCATTTTAATGGTCAAGGCGGTGTCATCCATCAAATGTTAACTTGTAAGAGCTTTGTTTCATATTTCAAATATACTGATAAAATGAAAAACCATTTAAAAATGGAGTTTAATTCTGCTTGGGCACAAAACTTGTTTTAAGCGACAAAACATGTATTCTGTAACAATCGTACCCAGTATAGGTCTCTTTATTTTCATGTTAGTATATTTATCTTATGATTACTTAAAAATAAACAAAGTTCTGGAAATAGGAATGTTTTACACTAAGCCATTTCTCTGTTCTACATGAGGACCTGGAGCAATTCATTTCAGAATATTACCCAGCCATTTAGAGTAAAATGTACTCGTAATTATCGTCTCTGTTACTGACATTGGCCTATAATTTCACCATACGTGAGATACAAATGTGATTCCAAAGAGGCAATAAAGATAGTTTAATATTTTTAATAAACACGTTAAACACGGGGAGGGACACTGTTACAGCACACCTCTCAGTTGCGTTTTTGAGACCATTCCCACAGATTTTTGGATCGATCTGTCTCCCTGGGGAGCCTCACTGAATTGCGATCAACTTAAATGTCTGTCACGCCTAGTAAAGCTGTTAGGGGGTAATTATCTTTACCCTAGCTGATTCGGTAGGCGTGACAGACATTTAAACCTCTTGAGCTGATAGCAATTTAGCGTGAACCCCCAGGGAGTTAGGTCGATCCCAGTTTTTGTCTCAGTCCTTTACGTGCCGTAACAGATATAATTCATCTTACCCTGGTACAGTCCACACACCAGCGGAGCGAGGCTCCTGAAGCACAACACACCGCCTCAGATTCTTGGACGACAACCGCCGTCAGAAAGATTGAAACCAGTATGGTAACTAGATAACCAAACATCTCCTGAAATTTGAAAATAACGCGTTATCTTTTAGATAGCGACTTAGACATTGATAGAAATGATAACGCGATTCTCATTTGGCTGCTTTTAAAAAGCTGTGTACTGATAAAATATCTTATTATTACTGGTTATATGCAAACGGAGTAGACAAAATACTGTATGTTCTCTCTTCGCCATTCGCTAAAACCGTCAATATGCATTGTTTCTTACCGGTTGTTAACGCTCCTGAAACTGCTAGACCTGTGCATATAATACGTAGCTTATATACATTTAAGTTGCTGTCTGTAAAACTGATCGTTTCTTTGATGCAGTCTACACAAGTCACATTAAAATATACTGGTAGCAGAAAGTATCTTCAAAAGATAAACAGAAAAACGTTTGTTCAAATGATTTGTTCATCCATTATTCCCTTCAAAAAACACCCTCAAAGCTATCACTCAAAGACACTGTCATGTTTGGCCGTTAGATGCATATATGCTTGTGTGTATTGATTCATATACATGTACGTGCTAGTACATATATGACGCCTCCAAGGATGCCGCATCTAAATTGTAATTTCCATTCGACCAGCATATTATATAAGACTCAGATGCATGCATATTCCTGCGTGAATTTATAAATATTCAAAATTTATTTAGCCCACCCCAAATACCTCACTTTATTACGTAATGTTATGTTAGTAATTAAGACCGCAGTGAATGGATAAGGAAAGAAGAGTGTTTCATAAACTTGATTTAAATGTTTTCATAATGTAGTTAAAAGGATAACAACTCTTAGTACGAGATTCATATTTCACTATAAATACGTTGTAAACAACTCAAACAAATATTATAAATCATTTTTTAACCACCAAAACAGTGGTTGTATCGCAATTATTTGAATTCGGTGCTTGCCATCGGACCACGTGACCTCTAACAATGGTAGCTTTCTGAAATAATCTCTAAAGAGATTATTACAAAAAAAAAAACAACTTTTGTTTAACCAGGGAGTAACTTTGAATGTCGGTACCCTTTCTTTCGCCATTGGTACTAGTTTGACACTGAATGTCTTTGCATTATTGCTTGAATTCATTTATAAATCTAATTTCATTTTCAACTCCCTAAGAAAGCCAAACTATACCTAACCCATGTGAGAATAGAATATTTTAAACATTTTTTGCCCAACATTCTTTAACCTTTAAGTAAGTATAGGGAAAATTTTCTTTACCCAATAGAAAGCCACCTTTTTGCCAAAAGGGACAGATGTTTGGCCTTAAAACGGCACGTAATGTAAACAAAGGAACACCGTAAGAGATTGATGGGGTATAGAGAGAGAGAGCAAATGGAGAAAAGGAAACTGGCAAGTAGTAAATAAAGAGTATGAAAGAGCATAAGGTTTTATACTTTCTACCTCGCATAACAAATAAAGTAAAAGTCAATACCATCGCCGTAATTATACATGAAGAAAAATATCACCGAATGCGTACACAATCGGAAGATTGAAAAGCAATGAAGTTCATACAGTCAACAATAACCACTCACCGGTTACTAGTACGTCAACGATGATGCTAACTGGACAAACGTCTCTCGGTTTCAGTCCACTTTTCAAAAACAAACAAAGTAGCACATAACTCACCAGTCTGACTTAGTCATCAAAATGTCTGCCTCCAGACTGAGCAAGAACATGCTGGTAGTTATAAATCGCTTTATAGTTTGACATCAAAGAACGAGCCTTTTGGAAATGGCTTTGATGCAGCAGTTTCACACGAGAAATCAAACACACATAGGATACGAGCAAAGACCGATCAGCTCATACAGTTTAATTCTCAATGCCCTGTATGCAAACGGACACAGTGCCTTTGTTTAGGACAACAGAACTCCAATTTAATGTTGGTCTTGCATCTGTAATTTTTTTTACTCTACAGCGGTCATGCATGGAAATCTAAAATAAAAATGTTTTCATTTCAACAGTCACATATCGTATTTCTGCGTGGCCATTTAAAATGAGATATTTATGTTTCGGTTGTGTTAGTTGTTCAAAACAACGTGTCACAGCTAACAGCAGTTGGGTATGTCATAGTGGTTCTAAAAAACTTCAGCTTGTTAATTTAGTAATAGAGATGATAAATCTTTAATTAATAATGCTGGCGTTTTTGGTCCAATTTTGCATCACTTTCCATTCATGTGTACTGTAAAGGTGTCGCCGAAGATGCACCTGTAAGGACCTTCTGGTTGTCAAGTTCCTACCATGATGAAGATGCGGAAGCTCACAAATGAAGAAAAGAAACTGAATTGTTTCCCTGGGAGCGAAGGGTATAAACGTCCCCCAGATAGCAGCCAGATATGATGTGTCTATTTAGGCTTTGTGTAGTGTTTGCAGAACGGAGAACAGTGGTGATGCTGCTAAGTTACCACTTGATAAACAGACGAAGAAAATGACATGGGCAGCAAGATCCTCTGCATGGACCACCGCAGAACTGGCACCATTTTGTATTTTCTGTTGAGACCACGTATTGACCATTCACAAAGTGAGTGGACAAGTTTCGAGAGTATGGAGAACATAATTCACTTCTTATCTGACAGAGAATGTGCATTTCCTCGCTTGGCAGTTCACTTCAATAACATTGATTTAGGGATGCGTTGGTTTCTAAGGAATTGGTGAACTGGGGTTGATGCATGGAAATCTAAACATCTTGCGGTACATCGAAGTTCTAGAGCTGCACCTTTTATTATCGGTAGAAAACATCTTTGTGGGCAGGATTCACTCGTTTACTTATCAAGACTTTTTTTATTTTTTATTATACTTATCAAGACTTTTTTTGTATAAGAACAACAGCTGAGTTTTTAATCGGGTTGGGGATCAATTACCCTTATTTTTTCATAATTTTGACCATTCAAGTTAGCGGGCAAAGAAACGCTTTTCTGTTTATGAAATCTGCTGTCTACTACTGTAGTATCACAATGCTTGCTAAATGTCAACGAGATGAACGTGTTTGTGAAAATAATTTGGAAGTACAATAAACATCACCCAAGAACTGTAACATAATTTTTTGCTTGGCACATTTTTAGAATTACTAGTTACTTAATTTATGAATCAAACATTTTAAAAATAAAATTAATTTTGTGAAGCAAATCAACTTATTATGAGATTCGTAAATGAGAGAAAAAAGAGCACTATAGCTGGGTCTTTGCACAGATCGTTTTTTCTATTGAAAGGATGAGTGCGAATAACCATTGGCAAAGTGCCCATCTTCAAAATTTAAAAATAATTTGCTATTATAAAGGTTATGCATATATTTGTTACATGGAAAAATATTATTTGGTTTGAGGCATTGCAACTTAGTATTTTAATGAGTTATATGACGGGGGGGGGGGGGGGGTAGCCGGATTTACCTGTTGTATCCAGTCTAATGAGTCAGAGCAACTTGTTTCAGCATTTACCTGCTACATAAACATTTTTTTCTAATGAAACTTGTCTTGTGATGTAAAAAAAAGTTATATGTTAAATAATTGTGGTGTGGCACAAGTAAATGGGAAAGTAATTATTGTTTTTTTTATTCTAGATAAGAGAGGGAGGGGTGGTATATTACGGTATTTTCTCACAGAAGCCATCACTGAATTTACTTAACTGTATAAAAGTCTTGTTACTAGAAAAACTTGTTTCAGCGTATTTATTAATTTTATATAACTTTTCTCACAGACCAGCATTTGTTGGTCTAAATAATTGTATTTTTAACCAATACACATTTCTAAGGAATAGTAAAAAATGCTAAAAGCAAAAGGCTATTACAGTAACAACAAAAAATCATGTGTAAAAGCACTCTAAACAGCTATTTGGAATGTTTCCATAAACCATAAAATAAACAAGGTATAAATTGCACCAAAATAATGATAAGGTATAACTAAAAACTAAATGAAAATATAGTACACATAATAACAGTTATGGACAATAATCTGTATGACAATGAAATTAAATCACCTAAAAAGTACTTCATATATGATTATGTAATGATAAAGACCTTGTATAGAATGCAATTCAAGAGTTATTTTATACAAAATATACAAATATGAGTATTAAAAAATGTATAATGAAACAATAGATAATTAATCAGATGTGCTGTCCGAAACACATTTTGTCTTGCTAATACTGTCACCACTTGATTTTGGTAAATGTGAGGTATCCAAACAGCCTTCTCCACAACATAATTTTCGATTGTATCCCTGCCTCATGTCAAACCCCATATACCACAGGACTGAAGCGATATGTGCACAGCTTCCAACTGTCTTGGAACCAGCTTTACACTGTCAGTACCCGCCACTGATGGGTCTAGTTTTGCTATGGGAGGTCTGAATCCATAATGTGTACTGGTGGCTAGATGTGTGTCTTAATTCACTATTTTGGATCTGATTAAATCAGGTGCATTCTTGCATACACTGATTTCAAACTGGCCATATAGCAGATGCTCATCAGTATATTGGCTAGCTTGCTTTATCTGGTAAACTTCTGGTAATTATTATTGACTAGTGGTCTCTTGTATGGACTATTTACCAAGTCAATAGGTTTTCACTGACAAATAAAGCCATTCATAGCATTTTGGTGAAAAAAAAGAAGAAAAAAAAACTCTGCAAAGCTATTATGAATAGTGCTGGTGTGGAAGATAAGGTCATAAGTAACAAAACTAGGGTGTGTGTGAGAGAGCCTTTTATTTTACTTTTTATGCAAAATAGACATGAAAGAGGACATTTACACAACAATTTTGGTTGTACAGAATGTACTTTCATGCCCATTAGAGGGGGTTGGGTTTAACCACCCTTATGTGTAGAGGTCTATTACAGCATGCATGGGTCTCTATATAAAGTAGGAGCCACCACAATGTACATCTGCTATTATGATAATTTTAATTATTAATTAAAATATAACTTTGAATATCTGAAGCACATTTTACATTTAATCTTTCTTTATCCTAAGAAATAAGAATGAAAGTATGATATATTTACTGTATTTGGACTCTATTTCCTATCCATATTTCCATATAAATTTCTACTTAACTGGGCATAAATACCATTTCACAAGAATGAAGAAATGACATGATTCATTTTTTCTAGTTGTAGGGGCGTCGGTTTCCGAAAATGTAACTGAAGGTAAACACTTGTAATTGTATTAGTTGTCTTCCTATCTGGGAGTACCAAATTAATTGTAATCTATTTACACTTTATAGACGGAAAATGGTTTAATTTGTCTCAGTTACTTTTGTCATAACGCCGCATTCAGGTAAAATATTTTCACAAGTAGGCCTAACAAAAAAGAAGAGAAATTGTGAAAAGTGATAATCCTCATGTGTCTTATCGTGGTGTTGATTTTCAAACGGAAAACAAT